ATTTTATTTATTTATTTTATTGTATTTATACCCCGCCCTCCCTGCGAACGGGCTCAGGGCGGCTTTTCAACATGCTAGTATAGGTATAGGTAAACATGCTAGTATAGGGAAATATTTCCCTTGCTCAAAAGCCAATCAAATCCAACTCTAGGGGGTGGTGCTCATCTCTGTTTCCAAGCTGAAGAGCCAGCGCAGTCCAAAGACTTTTCCGTGGTCATGTGGCCGGCATGACTAAACGCTGAGGCACACAGAACACTGTTACCTTCCCACCAAAGTGGTACCTATTTATCTACTTGCAATTTCTTATTTCAAACTGCTAGGCTGGCAGGAGCTGGGGCCAGAGATGGGAGCTCACTCGGTTATGTGGCACTAGGTTCTCGAACTGCCAAACTACCAGCCTTCTGGTCTGCAGTTCAGCATCTTATTAAAGTGTCTGCTATATATATATGGTAAATGAATATATATGGTAAACGAATGGAGGCATTATTAATATCCCAGAACATTTTTGGTGCAGACCAGTATGTTTGCTCCCTCACTCTTCAATAAAACATCCCATTTTTATCCCACCATTCCTCCAAGAAGTTCATGCCGGTATCAACAGTTCTGCCTTCCATCATTTTATCCTTTCAACAAGATTGCAAGAAGGGGTATGCTGAGAGAAAGTGCATGGCCTACAGTTACCCAATCTACTTCATGAACTTTGGTCTCCCTGACACTAGTCCAATCCCATACGTACACCCAAGAAAGGTGGCTCTCAAAGCTCTTATGAACTTCTAAAAGGTCTCCTACCCAGGCCATAATCAAGCAGATATCTGAATAGCTTTAACCTGGCAACAGTATTATGTGATGTCATGCCATCCTTTGGGTATGTTACAATACCATCTGTCCTAACACATGCAAAAATGAACCAATTGCTTTTTTATGTTGTGGATCTTTCTCAAAATCTCTCGTGCAAGAGCACTTTCAATTAATGGGCAGCATTTCTATTCTCCACAACCATTTGCTCAGTGACTCAATTACTGCAGCAATAATCACTATATAAGATACAATGTACATTGTATAATAACGATGACAGCGTTTACCACTACCACCTGCTTATTCCTTATATTTAACCCTTTCCTCCAAAGAACACAAGCAATATTTTTAGCTTCAAAAACAGTTCACTGAGACAAGCAGTGAATGCTCAACAAAACACTTCAGCTTTAATGGCACAATCAGCAAGGTGCATTGTCCTGTTCCAGCCACAGTTGCTTTATTAGGCCAAACCTGAACAGAAAGCATTACAGATCTCTCCAACACTTTGCATTCCCTCTTGCAGGTGACATCTGCAGGTCCCTTCATTCAAGAGGGGAAGGCACAGTTGTACTCTCATTGACAGTGTTGCACAAAAATGGGTAGCTTTCATCAACAAACTTATTCATGGCCTCACTTGAACATGGATGTGCATTCACTGACACCCCTTCCCAAGTCACCTCTTGTCAGGACACAGCAACATCAGGCGCCTGTCTCTACTTTCCCTCTGAATGCGGCCCATAACTTGGATGCATCCTAAAATGCAACCATTCTTAGTTGCCCCATATCTTAGTTAAACCGGACAAACTCCTAAACTGGGTGGCTAAAAATGTGGGGTATAATTTAATGAATGGGGAGGAAGGAGAGTGAGAAAGGTATGTGAGCTTAATCTAACCTCACCCTAGACATCAAGCTTTTTTTTTTTTACTATAATGGAATGTTTTTTTAGATTGGATGAAACAATCATTCACTTATAATAGCAATCCTCTTGTTGCATATGTATATTTAGCACTGAGGAAAATTTCATTTTGCTACATAATTTTTTATTCTAGGACATAGTTTTCATTATATGTATCCTGCTTATGTGATACAGGTCAAAGACTCGCATTACCAGCTTCTTATAGCATTAGTTGAGAACTGAATTATGCAGGAGCTATTTCCTATTTATTTACCAAAATGCCACATTTTAATCACAGGTCAACAAAGAATAAAACTTCCTTCACTCCACGGCAAACACTGACAAAAAGCCTGCCTGCACTGTGATTGGTACGTAATGGGAAAATCAAGAGACGGTGATTCTTATAATTATATATTTTCTGGCCCTATGCAGGTTCACTCTCTATGAAATGTCAACCAATGCTACAGGGCAAACGCAGCAGAGAACAGGAGCAATGGGTAATTTAAAGTGAAAATCTATGCTGCTGGTCCCTCAGTGTGAACATTTCCGTACAGAAGAGGAGGACTGGAAAATGATTGCTTTACAAAATGGAGCTCTTAAATCCAAGCATAAATTTCCTTTCTAGTAGGAGGCGTGTTTGTGAATCCTGGACAATTCAATTGCCATCAACTTTACTACAGGCTGCTGTTATGAGCTTATTAAAAAAAGAAAGAAAGAAAGCTGTTATTAAAAGTCCAGATTTGAGGGTGTAAAGGACATTGCAGAAAACATGCAATGAAAACAGGAACTGTGGTTGTAAGCTGCTGGATGTCTCCATCAAGAATTTTCTTATTTTAGCACCACAAATATACCAAGATTTCAAAAATAAAAGTTACTGAAAGACAAGTTCAGTTTTATTAAGTATGAACAATGTGGAAAGGAGATGATCTAGTCTCAGGAAGAGGGTCCAGGACCATCCGACTGACCTGTGAGACTGCAGGGCTTTCTGCTATCAGTAGCCATCTGCTGTTAAGGTTGGAGGATCAGACAGCCAGTTAAGCTTCAAGGGACTCTGGCTGAGCTATGCCTGCATGGCAGCATCCATTCAATATAATGAGCCAATACAAGGAGCCAAGGAAAAAGACACTGTAGCTAATTACAAGAACAGACAGGAAGGGACCACACGAGGGTGACCAAGGATGATTACTCCCACAGTTGACACACTGTAGAGAACATATGGGGGAGGATGAGAGCAATCTTCTACCCTTACAGCTGAAATCATCCTACAGCTTCATTTCGACACATCACTCAACTCAGGATACAGTAGACTCTTACCAACAAAAACTCTTATTACGTTAGTTAATCTTTAATAGGCCAGGAGTATTCTTTGTCAGTTTTTGCTCCAACACACACAGCTATTTTTCTAGTATTTAAGAATCAATTAACAATAATGGACATTTCCAAGGCAATGTTAAGGGGACCCAATTTATTCCACAGCAACTGTCAAGGGGCTCTTGAGAAATGTATTCACATGGCCTGTTACTCTGAAGTAACAAGGGAGCAACGAGGCAGTCAAGAGAGACGTCCGTAGTGTGTCCGTGCTGTAACTGTCCTTTTGCACTCTGCCTATGGCTCATTTTGATATAAAC